GCGAATAAACTTCCTAAATATTTCTTTAACGCAGTTTCAGCAATCACATGATTTTTAAACATGTTTAATGTAACAGGACGAAAAGGCAAACTCTCAATCTCCATGTTGAATATTAACCTTGCACTTAGGCTCATTTTTACTCACGACGCCACCCGGCTGGCTGTGAACTAACAATATGATTATGAGAGTAAAAAATACCCCAAGTAAAATCACGTTTTCCTGCCCTCAATGCAAACGGCGTACAAACCTTTAACATCTCCCAGTATTTTGAATAAACTTTCGACTTCCGTGTTCACTTGGTTTACTTCTCGCTTACAGAATTGAGAACTTAAACAAGGACCACCAGACCCTGTTACTTGTGCAGATTGTACCACTCTTCTCTTAGTGGCACATTATTTTCCTCATGCCTTAGAAGTGGTCAGTAGTAGTAAGATTACTTGAAATGGGAGCATTCTCCCTTGCCAACAGAAAGTAAACCTTGAGAGTCCAATGTTAATATGTGGTAATGCGAACCAAGTTGAAACTATCAAATTAGCATAAAATTCATCTCTTCTGAAGGGCACAAAGGAGGTTGTGGCATAACATTTGCCCGCATTCACTGCATCGCAGATAAAGTCGTTATCGATGCTAAAGGTTGGCCCAGACCAAAGTTTACCGTTTAGATTGAAACCACCATTTTGAAATCCAATCAAACTGAGAGCAATTACAAGATCCGGTATTGACCCTGGCCACAAAATAATTTATAAAATTGGGCCAAAAATGTGTGCTTTTGCTATCTAGACAACTCAGGCACGACCTTTCCCAAATTCCAATATCCTTTCTCCAGACTACTTGCCACCCACGTTTCCTTAATTAATGCATTACTACAATTTTAGAAAATCATTCAATAATTGACCCTCCAACATGTGCTCTGGTCCAGTCAGCAAGAGGCAGCATTAATACACGTGTTTTTAGTTAAACAATATGTCCTAGACAATTGTTGCAAAAAAGCATCACTTAAGTGTCTCGAAATTTACCCCACCTGTCGTAAAAGAGAAAGCGTTACCTCCTGTTTCTTCTAAAGGTTGTCAATTAAAGCAATTTTGGTAGTTACGTTAACTGGCTTCATGCGTGTCTTTGTTGAAGGCCCCGGCGTGCGGCCTCGAACCACATTGGCGCCCGATTGCGCTACAGAGGTACACGGAAAGACCAAAAAGGCAGGATGCAGTGTTCACTAGATGGCTCAAAATATCGGTGTGCTTGTCACACCACTGTGCATGGCAAGTCGGGCCTGAAAAACGGGGCTTGTTTATCAATACGGTTTAGGTGAAGGTGTAAAAGCACACATGCCTGTTTAGCCAAATGAGTGGAATAAGTAACAGGCGCTACATGCACCGGGGTTGATGATGTCGCCGTGATAAGGCGGCGGAAAGTCTAAGTAATCGACGACCATGCTAAGGGACGTGAATCAACACGATTCATTCCAGGTTAGAGATTTATTGTCCTTGTTGATAGGGCAAACCTATGGCTTATTCCAGGAGCAAAATAAGCATGACTTCGTGTGTAGTTTTCAGTTTACGGTCAGTTTCGATAGGTGATGAAGAATCAAATATCAGGAAGCTGTTGCGTCCGAAGATTTTTGAAATCGCTGGAAGTTAACCAAAATTATGATGGGCCCAAAGAATGTGATGCTGGTCTAATCAAAGAAATAAGTGAATTTGATCGTAGTCGAAAAATTATTAGGTCACCAAAAAGATAGACGTGTCACATTCATAAATTGAAAATTACCTACAACGACTCAGATAGATTAGTATGCCCTGTATTTGAATTCCGCAGAAATTCACCCAAATTGTTGAATCGAAATACGCGATGCAATCTTCGCTTTTCGAAGAGATCTGGTCCTGGCAGTGAAAATGGATGGTCCCCAACAATGTCACGGTTCTGGTTGGTGATGAATCTGCATTAGCCACATCATGCTGCTGATTTTCTGCGATTGCAAATAAGCTATGCACTTCAGACTGCTTTTAAGCAAGCAAATGATAGCTGAGGATATTTGCTATAGACGACTAAAAAATTAGGCAAAGGAATCAATTACAATTTCCATAACTGGCAAATATCATATATCTTTGGTAGCTCATGAGAACGTATTGATACGTGCTGGGAGGTTGCATGATTACTTCAGCGGTGAAACTTTCACAAAGGACGATGATAACCTGAGATCGCGTTATTTTTGTAGCTTATAAGTGGCACCAATAAAAAACGAAACGGCATGGCAGAAAGATCACAGAGCATGCTTATTCCTAATTTATTTTTGCCTGATGTCCGATTTTAGTGTCCAAAATAAAATGACTCCTTTGTTTGGAGAGCAGCCCACCGCCCAGCCCCTAGAGCCACGTAAAATGAACATTTTTTCCACCTAATTGTGATCATTGTCAAGTTTTAGAAAATTTGTCATCTTTTTCTTAATTCCCAATTCTGTATTACAAATAATATGTTTGCGATATTGTTTTTATTGCAGTTTACTATTGTTACATTTTTCAAGATTACTTAACATTGCAAGAAAATTTTGTTTCAAAACAATTTTATACGAGGATGTTAAACTAGACAATGTTTGCAGTGTGTTGGGCGTATGGCTTAAATTGTACATATTTTTTAGCAAATGTATTTAATACACAGAAATAGAGGATAAAGAACTTGATCTGGGAAATATTGTCCACCGTTTGCTATGACCTTGCGCCATCTCTCAGGTAAAGTACGAATGCTGTCGTGAAGGAAACATGCACGCTTCGTAGCAATCAAGTCACTGATAACGAATTTGCGCACATCGTTTAGTGGTTTTGAACTGTTTGTCCACTAAGGCGTGTTGCTGCAGTGGGCCGAACAAATGCAGTCGGCTGGGTCCAAGTCTGGTGAATATGCCTCTTGTGAGAGAAATTTGCATGAGGTCGAGCGTTACCATGCAGCAGAGGCATGATTCGCCTGCTTCCTTCCCAACTAAATGGCCCTTTCCTGATCGAGCTCTTTGTTCAGTTCGTTCAACTGCCAGCCGTAGCGCTCGGCAGTCACCGTCTGACGACCAGTTTTCCTTCATGTCCCCTCACCAGGCGTACAGGAGAAACTTCTTCAAGTGGATGTCCCGTTTTGGCATCGATTCTTGCAAAAATACACTCTTTATCACCCGTTACAATTGTCTACAAAAGGTCCTTTTTTGTTGCCGACGGACAAGCAGTGAAGGACATGTGTTCGTACGTCGACCTAGGTTGTACTCGGTCAACACATGTGGCATCCAACTTCCATGTCTTAGAATCTTTCCTATTTGTTGGTGTAAACGCTGTTTGAGCATGCGTTGAGTCTTCATCCATTAGAGCATGCCATTCCGCATCTTCAAACTTTCGACGCTGTCCGGGCAGTGGCTGGTCACCAAGATCGAATTTCCCACTTCTAAACGTTCGTACCAATAATTAAACGCTTCATAGGACACAGCGTCGGCACCAAGAACACTGCAAATTGATTCAAGTGCTCTAGAAGGAGCCTTTTTCCTTGTTGGAATTCGTATAAAACGCAGTGCTAAATGTGCTGTTTACTAGTTGCCATTGTAAACTCTTTGATTCTGAGAGGTTATGTAACTCACTTAGACGTCTGGTTCAGTGTCCAGGAACCTTGCATCCGAGCCTTCCTAAACACAATTTTAAAGTCTATGAAAAAAATATCTATAAACTAAGCCATGGACCCAATTAATAAAAAAAATAAATGGCTCTCTTGGCTAACTTTATCAATTCTGCGCGAAGTCTACTTTGATACATGTGTTAAAGGTGTGTAATTCAAGACATGCAAAAGAAGTAAAGACCTTTATCTTAGGCAAATCATAAAAGCAACAACGCACATTCGCATAGGGCACTCATTAAATCGTCCAGTCTGTGTCCAAGGCGGCAATAAAAGAACTAACCACCGCCCTTCGTGTATAACACCTTAGCTGCCACCATCCCCAGCTCTCACGCAGCAGTTAACCACCTATTTTTAGATTCAAGTTAGCCTGAGTCGGCAGACGTGGCTTGAACATCGTTGAAAGCGCAAAGGTCAAAGGTGCCGCAAGAGCAGCCTGGGTCACCTTTTGGACTGTGTATCCGTCATGCGCCTAAGTCTACAAATTCCCCTTTCCTGGCTAATTTAATTGCGTGGAATCAGAAACCAAATAAGCGAGTTTGGAACGAATCGAATGTTTCCCAATGAAATCATCGAAGCAACTATGACGACATATAATCAGGATAAAGCCGAATCTGTGCATGTTAAATGTAAATGCCATCACCATTTCTGAGCAATTGCCACAGCAGGGTGTCTATCAGTAACCCTAATAAACATCACTTTTAAATGATGGATGTTCGTTGCCTTGGTGATACACCATGCAAATAAGTGGGTGCCTCATTTTGGTCATAACACAAAAATGTACGACGAATCAACGCAACGAAACAGGTATGACGTGTGTAATGGTGACAGCGAGCGTCTGCTTCGCCGTCGAATGGTCTCTCACGAAAAAAAAAGTCTTGACGAATCCTCGGTTGTCGTAAGCGAGCCTCTCAACTTTATTATGCGGTTCCGATCACAGCTTTTTGCTACGACACGACGCTCATTAAAATTTGCCCCACCATTCACAATGAGATGACAAGGTTGCCCAAGGCTTGTGTTACTTGGAGCTAGCTGAAGCGGTAAAATCTATGTGGACGAGGTCTACCTCGTGTCTTTGCACTGGAGGCCTCGTACTCGTTGTTCTCTGAGCATGCGCTTTCGTTACTAGAAAAAGTGTAACGATGACTTAAGCCAGTCCAAATTAACAAATCGATATCGATTTCCCACGTCATTTCGAGTAGGCACCATATTGGAGCTAATCTGTGCCTCATAAATTTCAATGGATGTTTACAACCCTTGTGCTTCATTCGGACGCATTCACCACTCGAACAAACCCGACTGAAGCATATCCGGTGCTAAAAACCATGCCTTGTCATCCAGGCCCGCGGTCCGTTGTGGATGTTTGCGATTTTACTGCTGCCAGATTTAAAACCGAGATAGTGTAAGTGGTATTTCTGTGGGATTCGGAATACATTAAACATGATTACAGTGCGTTGACCATGTTTAGGGCAAAACACTGTTTTTTGTACAGCCGTAACACGGTCATTCCACGGCTTCATCTGCGATTAAAGGAACTAAAGATCGCCCACAGCGGATCGCGGCATCGACAACCAAATTTTTTGTTCAAATCACCGGAAACAGTCAATTTTCATCAGCGTCGTCTACGAGGAAATATTTAAAAAACCCTAGATGTGTAGAAAGTTAATTAGGATTTACCTTCTAATTTGCGAATTATTCCGTGTGCAAAATTCACGGGATAAAACAATCCTTTTAGAGCGCTAAGTCGCTAGCTTAAAAATGCGGTACAAATTTTATTACACGCGTGGCCAAGCTAAACCAGAATATTTTCTGACACAAATTTTCTTTTCCGTCGATGGGATGACTATTGTGTCCACCTGCAATTCTGGGTCACAAACGCGTTGTTAGCGCAAAACAGCAGGCGAAAATATATGAGGTGCAAAAGTTTATTCAATCTGTACATGAATGATTAAATGTTTCGGAAGAGCGCATTAATGTCCCTTTGCACTGCGTCATGCTCACGCAGGAATCTAGAAGGGATATTTTTTTCCAAAGCCGTCTTCCAGTCGCCATTGGTTTCCTTGGCCGTTGCTAGAATGCTGTGAATGGCAACCAGGGTGAGGGTCTTGCTCCCCGAGCGCCAGTGAACATACCGTTCAAGGGGAAGCCTCACGCACTCAATTCCTAAACGTTTAAAACAGAAAACCTACTTACATAAGCTAAGTAGTATGATACCTGAAATGGTAAACTTCGTAACTTCACACAGGGCTAGGAAGTACATTTTCTTAAGGTACCTTCGTGAATCCTGTTTATTCAACACCCTAATCCGGTCGCTCCACCTCCTACACAGGTTTCCCCTTGTCGCAGCATGTCGCCAGCCGCTCGATTCCTCAACTCCCCTTTCATTAACACGAATATTTATCTCGGAGTGTCCCCACACGTAGGTCTCGATGTTAGCGCATGTATGACTCACACATCCGAGCTGTAAATACGCATGCGCAAACACCACACACGACACAACGACACCAGTTTTGGTTGAGCTCTGAAGTAAACGCTTGTGTCCACGTCCTCTCCGGCCTTTTTCCTTCATCGCGGGTATCAGGCAAGCGTAATCGGGCCA